ATATATATATATATATATATATAAATGATTGTGTAATTTAAAGGCATTGAAACACCTGGTTAAATTTAGTAGATATTTAAGATTAATCACAAACACCTGGAGGTGTTACCTTTTACGTCAGATGTAGAACATAACTCATTTTTGTTTAGGCTAAAGAAAGAACACATGATAACACACACCAACTCTTATTGTGTTTTAACCTTAAAGGCTGAAATGATCAGAAAGTATAAAATACAATACTGCATCTAACATTCAATTAATCAGTTACAAAATTTTCTTCAGACCAGTAATGGCTAATTTTAGGAAAAATGTCTGGGTTAGGCATAAATACAGTTACAAAAATGAATGGAAGTCAATACAAAGTCCTCAGTTTGATGCAAATACAAGGAAGTGTGTGTGTGTGTGTGTGTACTTGTTTTTGTTACCTATTTAGGACCGTTTCCAGTATACACACCTACCTTGTCAAGACCATTAGTCCTAATGGGGACCAAAGACTGGTCCTAATACGGTGGAACTCCATTTTTGGGTTGGGGGGTGGGTTTAGGACTAAGGTATGAATTGAGTTTAGGTTAGTTTTAGGGTCAGGTACCTGTGAGGTTAGCCTTAGAGTTTGTGGTCAGGGTTAGGCTGTCGAAATTACTGGAAATGAATGGAAGTCAATGAACGGTCCTAATAACGATAGAAATACAAACGTGTGTGTGTGTGTGTGTTTAATGCATCGTGCCTTACTGTTTACTAAGTGTTGTTTATTAACTGAGCCCACTGTAACACCAAGAATAGATTGTTCACTGTGCTGTTGTACAAGAACATCTAAGCTCAGAGACAGKTTTATGAGAAACTTGTAAAGTCTCAGTGCAGAAAAGAATCAGAGATGTGATCCAGTTTGTGTGTTTCTTTGTGTCAGCTGATGGACGAGCAGGTCCTGTGTGTACACGGCGGCCTCTCTCCAGACATAAAGACCCTGGACCAAATTCGAACCATTGAGCGGAACCAGGAGATCCCCCACAAAGGAGCTTTCTGTGACCTGGTGTGGTCGGACCCTGAAGATGTGGATACGTGGGCCATCAGTCCCAGAGGAGCTGGGTGGCTGTTTGGTGCAAAGGTCACAAATGAGGTAGGCTGGAAACGTCAAAAGTCCAGAGAACTGGATATATCAAGTACATACATGCCTGCCTTCTTCATGCTTTTATACAATGAACATGTCAGAAATAAAAACTAGAAAATATATTTGTGAAAAATTGTTTTCAGTATTGCAATTTCTTCCCTTTTATTAGTCCGTCCGTCCATTTTCTTCCACTTATCCATGGTCGGGTCGCGGGGGCAGCAGCCTAATGGGCTGGACAGACAGGGAGCGACAAACTACAGCGATCAACGGCTGTCATTGCAGTCAGGGTCAAACCCGACACGCGGGACGCGATAGCGACAGCARCGTTGCGAATCACGCTATGGTGTCGCTTGTCTCAAAGCAATCTGATCGGTTGGTTTTCTACCCGTCRTTTATTTATATATATATTATTTTCAATATTGTGAGTGATTTAGACATTTTAAAAGCAGTCTGTATCAGACAAGGCAACGAGGATGAAGAGTCAGATTTTACTGGAATTGACTGAAATCTTGCTGTTAAGTCTGCTCTACAAAAGAAAAAGAAAGCCTTGCGTTCATCCTATATTACAGACAAGGAAGCAACATGGTGAATATCATCATTTGATGACAGATCTCAAGGCTGATCCAGATAAATTCAAAGCCTACTTTCGTTTGAGCCCTGAACTTTTTTCCAAACTACTAAACATGGTAACCCCCAAAATTGAGAAGATTCACACAAACATGAGGGAACCCATCAGTCCTGAAGAACAGCTTGCTATCTGAGGTATGTAATTTTTGATATGTTTAAGCCCATAATATTTATTTTGAATGCTAGCAGTTATATTTTAACTCAGGTATAGCGGTGTATGGTTGTTTAGTGAAAAATGAACAGCACATATGACAAATCTAATTATTTTAAAGAACTTTACATATTGCACTTTTACAAAGAAGGCAACAATTAAACATTTATGAGTGTTTTAAATATTAAACATATTTTTATAATACTATCCGGAGCTGTAAACATACAGTGCAAATGAGAGCAATTGCAAGAATCACTAAAGATGATATGAAGATAATTATCCTTCTCCAAACTCAAACTTATGGAGTACTCATTATTTCCATCTTGGCCTCAGATTTTCGGGCTCCCATAAGCTGTCTGAGAATGGGCAAAAGGCTTTGGAGGTAAAGCTCATCTTCATCTTCAGCAATACGTTGGATTTGGGCTCGAATATTGTCCACTCTGCTGAGGATGGACTCCTCAAAGCTGGTCTGATCAGGCCTTCTCCGTTTCACTGGGTTGGTCTTTTGAGAAGATGATTGTGGTGTTTGCTGAGTTGAGAGGTCCATGCTGCTGGAATCACTAGTGGTCTCACTGCTTGTTGTGTGCTGTAGATCAGCATCCACACCATCTTCACCCTCTGTCACAGGCTCCAGGGTTAATGTTATCATCTCCTCTTCCTCCTCCTCCCTCTGTGGGTCATCTGCTGTTAGGTTGCCACTGGTATCACGCTCCTTTGTATAAGGCTCCAGGAAGGACATGATGTTGAAGTACTTCCATATCTTCTGGTCACTAGCTGCTGAGCCACTTTTCTTAGTTTTGAGAGCTTTATGGGCCCTAATGAAAGTGTCTCTGAGGTTTTTCCAGTGCTTCTTGACCTCTTCACCTGTAAAAACAAGATCAAAATAAGTCAATACCATACTTACAAAAACATATATTAGGAACTTTAAAAAAATGTAATTTAGATACAGTATAAGTCAGTAAATATTTGTACTATTATACTACTTGTACTATTTATACTAATACTTTTAACTGTAACATAATTTCTTATTTATACATTTTCTTCAGATTCCTTGCAACAGGAGATTCCTTTGCAACTACTGGGTTCAACTACCGTGTGGGAAACTCAACTGCTGGAAAGATTGTGGATGACGTCTCCCAGGCCATTTGGGATGTGCTGCAACCTGAATACATGCCAGAGCCAACAACAGATGACTGGAAAGCCATATCAGAGGGTTTCAAAACCAAATGGAATTTCCCAAACTGCATTGGTGCACTAGATGGGAAACATGTTGTGCTACAAGCTCCTCCATCCTCTGGCTCCAAATACTTCAACTACAAAGGTTCGCATTCTATTGTCCTTTTAGCGCTAGTTGATGCTAATTACATGTTTAGAGTCATTGATGTTGGAGGATATGGCAGGAACAGTGATGGGGTCATCTTCTCATAGTCTCCACTTGGAAAACGTCTGAGGGCAGGCACACTGGGCATACCAGTAGACACCACAATACAAGGTGCAGAGGACCTGGGGCCAATGCCACATGTACTTGTGGCAGATGAAGCTTTCCTACTTCAATGACACATCATGAGGCCATATCCAGGGAGACAGCTACAAAGAAAAGAGAGGTGCTTCAACTACCGCTTGTCTCGTGCCAGGAGAATAGTTGAAAATGCTTTTGGCATCCTTTCTACCCAGTGGCGAATGTATCGCCATGCTCTGAGTATCTGCCCAGGGAAAGCTGATTCTATTGTGAAGGCAACATGTGTTCTTCATAATTACATGCGTCAAAATGGAGAAATGGAGCGAGGGATTCCACACTTACCACCCACTACACAAACTACCCAGACTGGCTCCAACAACTCAAGCAGAGAGGCAGCTTCAATCAGAAAAAAATACTGTGACTACTTCAACTCGACAGCTGGAGAGGTGCCATGGCAACATCAAATATTATAGATGGGTTTAAGACATTTTTTTCCCTGGCATGGTGTTGAGGACAATTCACCATTTGTAATTAGGGAATTCATGGACAATTTGTCCAAAAAAATGACTGTGCTTTATTGGTTTGTGGAGTGTTTAATAAATGTTTAGACAAGTTTATATGTTGTTTTATAATAAATCTTACAAATGAGTTGATTTAATATTTTCCTCTATTGAAATATGAATGAAATAAACGTATTTGTAGATTATACTTGTATATATGTCATTTTTTTCACTGTAAAAGTATTATWKATTTATTATAAWAGTAAAGYCATAACTTTATATAGGCTACATTTATAAAATGGTACACATTATATAACATATAAACGTTACTATACGTTGGAGGATCAACAGCACAAATCCTACGATACTATAATGTTTAAAAACTGACAAAATGGACTCTTAAATGCAACTTTATGTGTAGAAAACTTACCGGACAACTTCACTCTGGCCCCAACAAGTTCCCATACGGCTGCCTTTTTATGTACATCCCTGTAATCACTTCTGKAAGTGTCAAATAAAATCGGGAAGTCAGATACAGACAAAATAATGTTTTCCTCGATGTTGAAACTGGTGCTGACTGCAGTGTGTAGCATACTCTCTTCTGATTGGTCAGTCAATGAAACCCTCGCTGATTGGTTGTTGCGCCAAGTGACAGCGACAGAAGTTGAACATTTTTTAACTTTACTGGGTCACGTCGCAAGCTCGCGTGTACACGTCTACGTGAACGAGCGCGAAATTTCACATGCACTTTTTTTCGCCGGTCGCTTAGCTGGAGGAGACCAAGCGATTGTCGCCTCACCGCACAGGCTCCATAGGAAATGAATGGAGAACGAGCGACATCGCCTCCCGTGTGTCGAGCCCATAAGCGGCTTCCCTCTCTCCAGCCACTTGGGCCAGCTCATCCGGGGGAATCCCAAGGTGTTCCCAGGCCAGCTGAGAAACATAGTCCCTCCAGCGTGTCCTGGGTCTCCTCCCAGTGGGACATGCCCGAAACACTTCACCAGGGAGGTGTCCAGGAGGCATCCTAAACAGATGAACCACCTCAACTGGCTCTTCTCGATGTGGAGGAGCAGCAGCTGTACTCTGAGTCCCTCCTGGATGACTGAGCTTTTCTAATGCTACGTTCACACCGAATGCGTTTTGAGCAGCAAAAATGTGCCCAACGCCTCCAGTTGGACGCACTAYGTTCAGACCAGGACAGAGACTAGATGCGTGTCTGAAGAGGGAGGATCGTCTTGGTTTTTTTACGGTCTGTCTTCGGCAGATGAAATAAAGATAAAATAAAGAAAATGGCTTTTCTTTATTTACTAAAGAGCAAGCCAATGTTGCGCACAGCAGATAATTAATTCACCAGATGATTTAGAGGCGGTTTGTTCGGTTAGTTTCACCACTCCAGGAGCTGCGTGCTGACCAACTATTTTTTGTCCCGAGCCCAGTTTAACACTGCGGTCAGTATAACGACCTGCTGACCCGCATTGGTGCTGAAATCTCCAGCCAGAACACCAACTGYGGACGGTTGATTTCAGCTAAAAAGCTCCTGTCCATCTGTTTGTGTGCAACATTCAGGAAACTGTCACATGGAAAAGTGAGTCTCTCTGATTGGTTGTCACAGACACAACGAGCGGTGAAGGATCAGATTTTTTAACTCCGGCGTTGGCTGCTTTGGACACACCGCATGTACGGAAAATGCCTCACCTTCTGCGTTCTTTGTGCGCCGTGCTAAACGGCGTGCTAAAGATCTTGTTCTTTCAGTCACTACCCAAAGCTTGTGACCATAGATGAGGGTAGGAACGTAAACTTRCGTTGACTTTTGTAAGGTGACCTTGAGAGTTTTGAAAGACGCCTATAAATAAAATGCATTATTATTTATTGTTATTATAAACCAAGCTTCGCCTTCGTCAGACCGGTACTGCAGACGCAGCACCAATCCGCCTGTCTATCTCCCGCTCCATTCTTCCCTCATTCGTGAACAAGACCGTGAGATACTTAAACTCCTGCACTTGGGGCAGGACCTCCTCCCTGACCCAGAGAAGGCAACCTACCGGTTTCCGGCTCAAGACCATGGTCTCAAATTTGGACACACTGATCCTCATCCCAGCTGCTTCACACTCGGCTGTGAACCGCTCCAGTGAGAGCTGGAGATCACGATCTCATGAAGTCAATAGAACCACATCAACCGCAAAAAGCAGAGAAGTGATCCTAAGGTCACCAAAAAGGATCCCCTCAACGCCTTGGCTGTGCCTAGAAATTCTGTCCATAAAGTTATGAACAGAATCTGTAACAAAGGCCAACTTTGGTGGAGTCCAACTCTCACTGGAAATGAGTCCCACTTACTACCAGCAATGTGAACCAAGCTCTGACACCGGTTGTACAGGGACCTAACAGTAGTGCTGGGCGGTATGACCCAAATTTTATATCACGGTAGTTTCAACATTTACACCGGTTTCAAGGTATATCACTGTATTTTTCTTTTCGTCACAGGTCAGCTGATAATAACATGTACAAACACTGCTTATTAACTTTTTTCTTTTACTGTATCTCTGTCTGTGTCGTTGTTTCCCTCCTCTGTGTCTTTTTTTTTACTGGTGGATTGGCTGTTGTCRCGCACATTTCTGTCATGTTTGATCAAGTAAGAAGCTCACAGCTGATCACTGTGATCGACCTGAATTTTGTCTCGATCAATAATCGCAATCAATTAATCGCCCAGCCCTATGACACAGAGTCAACAGTGCTTTTTAACAGGTTTTAAAAATCAATAGTGTTTTGTAGCATGTCTCAAAGAGACTTTAAACCTAACCTAGACTCTCATTT